ATTTTAACCATAATCTATTCTAGCCAAGACTAGCATTCTCTGAAATTTTGGTTGAAATCGGATGAAAAATAACAAAGTTGGTTTCTGAGGGGGGGCCCCCCTTAAGGTGGCTGTCTACAACAATCGTAAACGATGCTTTACGGTTTATTATGTCATCGTAAACAATGATCGAAGAAAGCTGCCACTAAGCACGAATGTAACAATATGGTGACTGTAAATGTTGTTGTGATAATATCGTTTTGCATAAACATCTCAGCAAACTTATCAGTATTAATAATGAATCAGAATTAAACAAACAAGTAAATAATTATCCAATGGATTGAGACGCTAAATGTTATTCCTAATACATAGGTTTAAATCATTTTTATTCTGTATTATACATTTTTTCTTTCGAAATTAAGTAAAACATTTGATTGTTTCTGGTTTTATGTTTTTTTTTCGTTGACATGACCGAAAGACGTCACTAGAACTTAATATATTCTTCTTACATTTGAGTAATCAAAAAAAAATAAGAATGTGCACTTTTTTCACCTGCATTCTAAAATTTACGTAAAGATAATGAGTAACATCAGTTTTGACAATCTATATGAGAACTATTTTCAAAGTATATTATAAAAATTTACTCATAAGTCATGGATTTTGTTACTATTCGATGGTAAATAAAGCAGTTGTAAACACTAATTTAATAAAAATCTTATTATAATGTTGATAAAAATTACACTCACAAAGAAGAAGCAAGATTGATAAAAAGGAGATATCGTGTTAACGAAAATGTTAAACATCAGAAGTAAATTTGACAGCATCTTGTGTTCATCATTATACGCAACTTCACGAAATGGCATTTTTTTAATATAATTTTTTAAATGTTTCAAATTTCTTGTTGACAGCTACGAGAAGAATAAAAACTCGAACGATTTTTATTCTATTTACAAAAAACCCTTTTCTCATTTCAGATATTGTTGTTTTAAAAAGAAACAGCATCCTTGTATTCTATCGGTTGTGTAAAAGCATGTTGATGACTGGCGTCGAAAAGAATTCCCCGAAAAAAACATAAGAGAAATTTTTTGTTCTTCAATGTCTTAATGTAGGCATATAAATACGTTATATTATCTGAATTTTGTTTTTCTTTTTTTCACTTTGTCGTTCGTCATAAATATTTGCACACGACGCACGCCATGTCTACTTCTTTTACAACTACACCGTTCAAATCAATGTCCTTTCCTACTGATTTAAGCACAATCAATCATGATATACACGAGTTATTTATTCAGTTAATGAATGCTTTGGCTCCAATGGATAAACCAGGACCAATGGGTGGTCGATGTGAATTAGAGACTAATCAAATGGAAATATTCTTAAAAGAAAACTTTGATTTTGAGAATATTCCTAGTGAATATATTGTTCAAGGAGTGAGATCATTTCGGGTTGGTCGACTACCATCACTACAATCTCTAGATAAAGATTTAGTAATTAATTTTCCATCTGAAACATATGAAAATCCATTTAAAATGACTATCGGTGAAATTCAAAAGTGGCAACAATCATATGTTGTTTATGCTGCTCAAGATAATGATTTATCCATCGATAAGGAATTTCTTAAACGAGCTCTACAAGGTCAAAGTAAAGATGGAGATGAAGCATTTCGCATGAAATTTGTAACTCGAATTAGTACATGTCCGATTTTAATGGAATTTGATGCTCAAGTCATTTCACGAAAATTAGAAGAAGATTGGCCTAATAGAATTAAACTTGTATCTGTTACTGGTATTGATTTTGCTGGACGAAAACATGATATTCAAGATATCTATACGTATTTGACTAACTGGAGCAATGTTTATGCTCTCGATCCTCACACAAACCAACCTTTAGTATATGGTGGACGAGATTTTTGTCCTAACAGAAATGTTCGTGGTCTACTCAACACTGACCGTTTATCTTATGATCTGATTCGTATGGCTCGTTTACGACTTCGTGCATGTGATTATGAGGGTGTACAAATTGTTGTTGAAACAGGCATTGGATTGGGTGTCTTTGCTGGTAGACAAATTGGAATTGATGATCAAACACGTTCATTTACAGCTCGAGCCATCAAAAAAGTACTTGAAGAAGATGGTTCTAAGTATTCAAATATAAGAGCAGTTGTGTTTGCTTTGCCTATTTTCGAAATTGATGAATCAACATCAACATACAATTATTTTATTAATATCTTTGAAAATGAATATTCTGGATCGATACCTGTTTTGATCGTTGATCAAGATATGCATCGTTTAACAGTGGCTATTGCTAAAAAAGGTTTTTTCGTCTCGGAACTCAATCCAGCCGATTCACATGGAGTTTTTGGTGAGTATTGGCAAAATCGAGGACCGGCTGTGGAAGAAAAATTAGCGTTAACAACAGTTGGACTATTGGTACAACATCATATTTTCAATGACAAACATGTATTGAATGATAATAACTACAAATTTATTTCTATGGGCGACAATCTCCCTGTGCACACAGGAATATCGACACCTTCATCATTTTTGAATGCTGGATATCTATTACAAGCTTTGCAACAAAGATTAGGTTGGATAGGAACGTGGATTATATGGATTTTCCTGTGTCCATTTAACAGAAAACGTGATGATGATCACATTGTATAATTTGTTCAAACATACAAGGAACAAATATCTTTTTCTATTATTATTAAGTATGAAATGATGATTGTTCGAGAAAAGTATTTTTAATAAATATTCAAGATATTTAGAGATTATTTATATGTAAGTAGTTCGTACCTTTTACAAAGAATTTCGCTGATATTATAACTATTAAACGATATTTTCTGATGATTAATAACTACTTAGAATGCCTAACTAAAAGTCAAAATGAAAGAATTATATGTATGTAGATATTGAAAACCTCAACAATTTCTATCTTTACATGGCTTAAGTTCTATAATAAGAAGCAGCAAATACAAGTGTAATCTAAAGAATCATCTGACCGAATACAAGTCTTTCTTACAATTCAAAATTAAAAAAAAGTTTTAAATAAAAAAAAATCTCATTTCAAATACATGAAAATTTTACCGAAAACATTTGTCTCACGATAATTCTCAATCTCATCAAAGTAATTATTATTCATAGATCAACACTAGTTGATTACGTCAAATAGAACATCTCAATACGTAATACTTTATATCACTATATTTCATCATCTGCTCTATTGAAGGTAAGGATAATCATTTGGATGTCAGTAGAATTAATATGAAGCTATCTAGGCGTGGTCGAGTGTAGCTGTGGTTGTACAGATGTTTGAGTGTTGATGTTGATGAGTGAATGTGTAATGATAAATTTGAATCTTCTCTTCACTATAACCTACATCCATACATTGATGGAAGCAAAAATGTCATGTGTGAGAAAAATTAAACGTTTCTTATTTGTTGTTCTCTATTCAATATTGATCGATGAGGATGAAAACTAAAGATAAAAAAAAAGTAAATTATGAAAATGATAAAGATGGATTATTTAGAGTATTTCGATCAGACACTTCTTGTCACGATGTATTTCATTCGATTTAATCCTGATCATTGAAACATCACCAATCGAAAGCAGACGAGTAATGAAATAGGAACTGTTAATCAGCGAGTTTTACGTGATTTATTTGATTTTGACAATGACTGATAAATTTATTTGCCTATTTCTCAGTTGCAATTCTCGTTTTTATTCTCTTGTTCTTCTTCATATTTTTTCTGATGATCTTAACTTTTAATTAATATTCAAACATGATTTTTCACACTATTTGTTTACAATACATTTCATCTATGATCAATAAAATAACCTCGATTTATATCTCAGTAGGCAACGCTATTCCAGAACTAATATATCGATTCTATGAGCTTCACTATTCATATTTCAATCATACAATGATCAAAACATTGAAAAAATATCAAATATTTTATGTTTGACATTATCTTTTTCTGATAATCCTGCTCCTTGCAAATTTTCTTCACTTGTTCGATCTATCCATAAATATATTTGAGACATTGAATTATCGTTTTACAATGCCATTTTCAGATTTGTTTGATTGAATACTTTATATTCCTCAAATATACTTAGATTGATGAGCCTTTTTTTAAATTTATCAAAAAAGAAACATTATTCAAACCAAGGACTATCTACGTAAATCACCTTAAACGGCTACTAAATAATGAACTTTTCAATAGAAAAGGATATACTTATGCAATTTATGATCCATTCATTTAAAAAATCCTCAAATAATAATAAATGTGACAATATATGTTGTGATTACACCACTTTCAACATTTTCTTTTACACTAGTGCGACGAATCACATCACATATCAAACATCATTAACTAAATCCTCATGACTTAACATTAACTATTAACACATGTTCTGTTCTGTTAAGTTTAAGAAAAAAAAGCACTGTAAATAGTTAACAAAAATACATCGTTCTCCAGTTGTTTTTCAATCACATTTTGTGTCGATGAAAGTAATTACTCACATATCATGTGTGCAAACTTTGTCACTAGTAAAAGAAACGTATCAACAAAAGAAAGAATGAAAATATTGCACAAATCACATGTAATTACTGTTTTTGTTTTTGCGAACACGAAAGATTTTCATCATGTTGTTATGTGTAATAAAAAAAAGACATGTTTTTCTTCTTATTCTTGGTTGGACACTTTTCATCTCGCTCTATAATAACAAATCATGCATTCTGCACTTGAAGTAAATGCCACTGACAAATATGATTTGGATTATGTAGTATCCGAAAGACAAGAACCTCCTCCAGAGATTCCTGGTGATGTCTTTGATCGACAACGTGTTATGAAAGATTTTCATCAATCTTTAATTGAAAAACAATGCGTTTTTGTACTAGGAGTAGGTGGTATTGGAAGTAGTATTGCCATGTGTCTGGTGAGAATGGGTGTGGATACGATATATTTACTCGATCGTGATTATGTTGAAGCATCAAATTTAAATCGTCAAATCTTATTTAGTATAGGTGATATTGGTCGATCCAAAGTAGAAGTAGCAGCTCAACATTTGAAAGACATACACAATTTACGAACTAATATATATCATTATCATACAGATGCCGTTAAGAATTGGTCTTGTGTTGTCGAAATAGCAAAAAAATCAATGGTCATTTTTAATAATATCGATTATGGAGCTGTGTTTGATTATGCGGTGAATTCTCTATGTAAATCATTAGGTATAATTTATGTATCTGGCTCCACATATGCTAATAACATTGATATTAGTTTATATTCAGGTTTATTAAATGATCCATGTTGGGCATGCAGTAACCTTACTAATGATTCGTTCAAGTTTACAAATCAAGAATCAGAAAATATCAATGATATTCCATCATTTTTAAAAGAAAAGTGTTGCATATCAGGTGAAAAATCACAATTAATCATAGAAGAATGTATGAATGAAATGAAAATCGTATTGCCTTTCCAATTACAGTTCTTGACATCATTTATGTCTCTTTATCAGGAAAAGGTACTTGGATTATTGTTACCTCAATCTATACAGACTTATCAATCGATTGAATTTATTCCCAAAGATAGATCATTTCCTACAAGAACAGTTGGAAGTTGGATCGGTGTTTGTGCATCAGGATCATGTTTGATTGTTAATACATGGGTACAACATATAATGAAAACTAAAAATTTGACTATCGATACAAATAAACCGTTTCATAATTGGATGCAAATCAATTTATCGATGTTTGATGGTGGTTATTATACAACTGGATTTCCTAACGAACAAGATCGTAATTGTTCGATCTGTTCAAGCGCTAAGCAAATGACAAAACGAATTTCATAATTATTCAAACGGGAAAATTGTTATATCATCGAAGTGAATTAACTTTCAATGACGAAAATAAATAGATTTGTATAAAGTTTGAAGACTTATACATTGAAAAATGTGGTTTGGTTAATTTCCAAGCCCTATTGAGAAAATAATTTATCAGGGCTATTCTAGGCAACTTTGCTTAATATTTCATTTTCTGATTTTTCCGTTGCTACTTTAATCAAACCAATAACACAAATTATTCTATACTCAGTTCGATTAGAACAGATAACACGCATAGCAATCAATTCGAAATGAGTGAAATATAAATACTGAATATTGTCTCACGTAATATCTCTTTGAATCAAACAAAGACGAACACGGATAGATAAGAGGCAAGATAAGTGAATGATTGACATCTTTTAAGATATAAATTCAAAGAGTCGACTCAAAATCAAGATTCATAATGAGAAAATTCTAAACGGATGAAAAAAATGGTTTTATTTCGCTTTTCATTTGTATCTAACTTGGATTACAGAAGATTAATCACAATAGTGTCAAGACATTCACAACTTACATTAGTTGGTCAAGGGCATCGTTGAGATTGTTGATGTTTATTCGAAGTTTTGATATCAGTTCTATACTATTAAGCATGTCGCAGTATTGAAAAGCGAGCAAGATTACAATAATCAAGCACAGCAATGATTAGAAAAAGAATAAATTATTTCGATATAAACCTCTGACATATCGAAACAATGCGGTAAATTACAAAAGAAACGGATCTAGTTCGTTCTTAAGAGAAGTACAAAGACTTCATTGATTCGTTATTCATTTTGATATTCATATATGAGAACGAAATTTCATTTTGTACCTAATAGCAGTGATCGATCTATCACATATAAACTGTTCTCAAAGTTATTATTATCGATTCCCTATAAACCTAAGTAGGACACGTATTTTTTTTTTTCGAAAAATTTCAATTGTCTCTAATATCTATATGCTCTTAATAAATTCTTTCCTTCAGCATGAACTATCAAAGAACAACAAAATATGTCGTATATTACCATAGTAAGTTATCGTAGTTATCGATAGGAATTTGACAGAGACTATAATCAAATTAAATCTTGATGAAATGATTATATAGTATTAGTGAAATAGTAAGTAGATTTTTCAATTATCAAAATCGCCTTGAAAATATGCCGTCCTATTAATTTATTAGTTTCATAAGTGAATAATGTATAAATCTGAAGGACTTGCACAACTATCAAGTTATCTCGAGAGTTGTACAGTATTTTTTCTCTAGATTGAGTTAAACTCGTTGTTTTTTTCATCCGTTTAGAATTTTCTCATTATGAATCTTGATTTTGAGTCGACTCTTTGAATTTATATCTTAAAAGATGTCAATCATTCA